AAGAGGGGGCAGAAAGATTTTAAGAGCCAGGGAGGAGGTGCATGACCATATGGAAACATACAAGCTCCTGGGAACCTGCTCATAAGAGTCTATGGCAATGGTGTCAGAATACACAAGTCCCATGCAGACTCAGGCAGACAAAAACCCAGCATAGAACTGGGACAATGAATAGTAGACCCCAATCTTATCTGAAGAAATATTGGCAACTGATTGCTGCTAGATGAGGAAGAGCTAGATAGGCTGACTAGACCTCAGTGGATGGATTTGCACTGGAGAACGTCTGGGGACACTGACTTGACATAGTGGGTCTTAGCAAGAATGACAAGAGTATATGGGCTCCAGTGGGGGGGGGGCTATCAGAGGGTGCCAGTGGGGCAGGGGTATAAAGATGATTAAGAGATTGAGATGTTCAGTATGAAATACACAAAAATTCAATAAAAACAAACTTAAAAAAATGAAAAAAGAGGACTTTTGCCTTTTGATTGTCCTGTATCTTTTAATGATCACAGGGCTAAGTTATGTGTATACAGTTTGAGCATCCCTAATCCAAAAATCAAATCAAAACTCGAAATGCTCCGAAGTTCAACACTTTGATTGCCAACATGATTGCCACAAGTAGAAAATTCCACACCTGATTTCGTGTGATGGATTACAGTCAGAAATGGAATGCAGTCAAAATACAAGTGAACCAAAACCATTGCTTAAAAAGTTATCTTTAAGCTGTGTTTGAAATATATGTGAAATGGAGCCAGGTGTGGTCTCGCACTCCTTTAATCCCAGTACTCAGGATGCAGAGGCAGGCAGATCTCCATGAGTTCAAGGTCAGTCTGGTCTATCTAGTGAGTTCCAGGTTATCTGGGGCAATAGGGAGCCCTGTTTCAAAAAGATTTGTGTGTGTGTGTGTGTGTGTGTGTGTGTGTGTAAGTAACTGTAACATAATGAATTTCATGTTTAAACTTGGGTCTCCCTCCCAAGAAATTCATGTATATGCAAATTTTTTGTATGTTTATAAAAATCCAAAATCAAGAACACCTCAGGGCCCAAACATTTTGTTTAAGGGTTATGCATCCATATGTGAGTGAAATTTAAAGCTGTCCCTCATCCTCATTGTTTTTGCCCCCTAAAGGCATGCATCATATGGATGCTCCTTATTTGTCCTGTGTTATTTCTGAGCAGACACACTGGTATATTGACTGTTGTATTAGACTAGTTGGTTTGAATCTTGACTCTTTATTCTACCTGTTTTGAGTTCTTTTACTACGTTTCTTTTCTCTACAATGTCCTTATTTTTGAAATGACTAAAATAGTTTGAGGAGTCCTGTGAAAATTTGATAATTCCCCCAAAAGAAATAGCATAGTGCTTGGCATATAACTCTTCCAGTGTTGCCTGTTGTTATTTCTGTAAGTAATCAGTTGACTGGGGAACCACTTTATTGTAAGGTCTCTGGTAGACTAATGCCTGGTCACTTTTTTAATATATAAGAAACTCTGACATAGGAATGGTAATAGGTTTATATCATATTTTGCTTAACCTAATGTACTAAAGTCCCTTATGAGAATAACAAGATGAAAATATCTGTATCTTTCACACATGCTGTTTTTGTTTTGAAGGAAATTTTAAAAATTGAATCTTTATGATTTTTTTTCATACAGTGTGATTTGATGGTACTCAGATACCCTCCCCCATCCTCACCTCCCTCTACCCCACTGCTCCCTGCCCAATTTAATAGACTCCATTATATATTATAGTCTCTAGAGTCTGATTTGTGTCCCCACATGTCCCTCAGTGTGGGTCCAACCACTGGAACCTGGTTAGCCTACTAAGCGTCCCATTCCTATAAAAGACTGTCTCTCCCCCTCCCAGGAGCCATCAGTTGATAGAAGGTCTTTAGGTTGGGTTGGGATTTCTTACCCACTTCCTTGTGTCTGTGCTGGGATTTTGTCTGGTTTGCATGTGCATGAGACTTGTGCATGCTGTCACTATTACTGTGAATTTATATATGTAACTGACCAGGTGTTTAGAAAAAAATTGCTTTCTTATGGTCATCCACCTCTGGTTCTTACAGTCTTTTTGCTCCCCTTCTGCAATGATTTGTGACCCTTGGGAGGCAGAAGTTTGAAATAGGTGTCCTATTCAAGGAGGAGCACTCTACAGATTCTTCTTGTTCCTCTTCACATTGGCCAATTGTGGGTTTCTGTATTAATCAACATCTGCTGCGTAAGGAAACTTCTGGTGAGAGTTGAGAGATACGTTCATCTTAGGTGTAGAGATTGCATTGAAGATGTGTTGCTTAGGGCTAAGTGTCTCACAAACTTTTATTCTCCGACAGTTGTGGAGCTCTGTATTAGTCTCCATCTGTTGCAAGAAGAAGCTTCTTTGAGAGTGGTGAGAGGAACACTTGTCTGTAAATATGAGGATGCATCTTAGAATACAGTAAGAGATTATATTGGTCTAGGGATGTGGCAAAAGTAGGTTTTTCTCTAGGATTTATAACCTCTCCAACCATGTATATTTGGCTGTGTTTACAGTACCACACATAAATAAGTTCCCTCTCATTGAGTGGGCCTGAATTACAATTAGACAGCTGTTGATTACCCCCAAGATAAAAGTGCCACTGCTGCACCAATAGTGATAGTTTGCTGGATCAGTTCCTGTTATTTGCTAGGCTTTACAGTTGGGTAGGACTGTTGATTGGTTTTCCCCCTTGGCAGCTTGCATAGTATCCTTATACCATGAGATCTGAAGGGAGAAAACATTCAGGTCACCTCGAGCTCGATTGCTCGAGGTCCCGTGTCTGAAGCAGTCTTTAGCAGTAGGGTTGTACCTTCAAATTCTGGGAGGCAATCAGAGGCTATGGTGCCTGTGTTATTTTGGGAGTCTCTTGGACTACCCTGACCAGTAACTTGAAGGGAGGTTTCTCAAGCCAGGTTCTGTGTTTTTTGTTATATAGCTTTCAGATAGTACATATGCACTCATATATATATATATACACACACACATATACACATATATATATGTATATATATACATGGTATGTGTATTTTTCAGTACGGCTTTGAACTAACACACTTTTCTGTAGTTTTTCACACCGTCTAAGTATTATCTTACCTCTCATTCCCCCATATGACCCTCCTGCCCCAGTTTTTACCTTTTCCCCTTGATAATACCTTTATCTTATTATCTCCCTCAAGCTCCTTCATTTTCACCCCCAAAGTTCCTTTCCATTTTCCTGGCTCCTGCAGTTACTTCAGGGTAAATACTTATATCAGAGGGTTTAGAGCTGACATCACAAATGAGAAAGAACATACTTTGCTTCACAGATGCTTTTTCATCATTGATGTTGAATGTACACGTCATAGATCAGGTGTATATCATTGATATTTATGATGGAAAAGTAACAAATTATAGGTGTTGATGTTAGTGGTATCAAAAGATACTTAACATTTATTGAACATTCATAGCATGTTGTGCTATTTCTTTTTGTTTTATATCTTTTGTGCCATTTATTTTTGTTTTCTATCTTTTGCTCTTAAGTGATCCCACCTCCCATTTTTCTGTTTGGAAAACTTACTCAGGGGAAGCTGGTTTTTTCTTTTTTTTTTTTTTGAGGGAAATTGTCTCCAAACGCTGGTCTGAACTAATACAAATGTCTTGAGTGCTATGTTGGTATATCTTCTTTTATCATAGTACATGTCTCCATTCCCAAGCTCGGTAATGGGTTATTTGAATAGAGTTACTAGATCATTTTCTCTCAGCCATACCTCTCTAAAATCCTTAACTTGCTCCTGGTATATGAAGACCATCCAACTTAAAATAAGGTATATTTGAGAAGGGTATTGATTCTGAATTTTCAACAAGTCTTGAGATGATTAAGTTACAAGACTAATTTGTGAAAACAATAATCCCATTGTAGCAAACTTAGACAAGAATAAACAATAAAATGGAAAGGTACTCTTTTTTGGATATTGATAGTTGTGTAATTAAAGCTACTTTTACAGCTTTAATTAGAAGTTTCTGTTGGAGGCTTTTAAAAGAATTATTCAGAATCTTGGCAAACACTCATTCTTTGCTAATTTTGCTTTCCACTTTACTGATTTTTTTTCATTATTGCCAAATCATATGTAATTATACTTCACCTGTTAGCTATTGATGAAGCCATTTCTAGACTTACATATAAAGATAGTGTAAATAGGCGAGAACAGTTTTTCCTTGGTTATCTGAGAGAATAAAAGGAAAATGGCAAAGAGATGTGTGCTTTCGGTGATGTGAAAAAAAGCTGTGGATTATCTCAAGGAGAAGTGAGGGACAGCTTCCCGTACCAGTCACCATCCAGTTACTGCCTCTAAAAAGTCAGAGATTAGGAAAGAAGAGAGTATAGATTACTCATACATAATAGCTCCTTAAAAATTAGGTTCAAATTAGGTTTTTGTGTAAATAAGCACCCCTGCCTAGAATCTGCCTTCATAAAGGTTTTTTCAGGATTTTGTTGCAGGGCTAGACATAGTGGTACAGGCCTGTATTCCCAGTACTGTGTAGGTAGAGGCATTTTTAACCTACATAACTAGTTGGAGGACAGCCTGGGCTACATGAGACTGCTTTAAAAAAAGCAAAAGCCATCACACTACAAGTTATTATTATAAACAGCATGTAGAAATTTTAAACATTTTTAAAACTTTCGTTTGAATTGTTTAAGACTACCATGCAGAGGAAAATGAATAGTAAGTATGCTGTGTGGATGTCTCATAACACCAGGATTCCAAGATGGGGTTTCCTCGTGTTCTCTTTAGATAAGGATCTGGGTCTTAAACTTTAAAAAATATTGAGATGTACTTATGAGGAAACTAGCTTTTTTGATCAGTAAATCATTATTACAATGGTGCTTAATTTTCCATGGCATTAGTTTTTAGTTCCTTTGTAGACTGTTAATGACATTCACATATAATTTTATTGCTTTCATTATTTCCTGATTAAAATTAGTTACACAATTTTTTTTCATTAGGAAGTGGCTGTTTTTGTCTTTGATAAAAAGCTGATTGATAAGTATCAAAAATTTGAAAAGGATCAAATCATCGATTCTTTAAAACGAGGAGTCCAACAGTTAACCCGGCTACGACACCCTCGACTTCTTACTGTTCAGCATCCATTAGAAGAATCAAGGTAAAATTTTAAAAACTCACATAGGAAATTTTCTGAAAAAATAGCTAAAAGTCACTTTATATTTGTTCTATTTCAGTTATTATCAGTAAACCTTACAAAGTTGAGATCTTATGAGTCTTTTATTTCCCTGAAATTTATTTGTATTGTGCATGTATATGTTGCTTTTGAAATACTAGTACTTCACACTTGCCGTGACTGTGTATGTAAATGCCTACATTAGTCATAATCGAAGATGTGAGGGAAGTGTGGAATTTTTACCTCAAAGTAGATGGCCTTGCTCTTTGTCAGAATTTCTTGTCTCCTTTTCATTGGTTCAATATTTGGGGACCAGTTTTATGTATCAAATGCTAGTCTAGACATCCAGTCTATTCACCCAGTATGTAGGTCTGTAGCCCTCAGTTGTTTTACTGTTTGTTTCTCCTAAAGATGAGATGAAAACATATTGCTGAGACAACCAGAAAATCAAATGTATGTGATCTTGGTGCTAGAGAAATGGTTCAGTGGTTAAGACCACCTGCTGCTCTTGCTGAGGACCTAGGTTCAGTTCTTGGCATGCCTTCTAGGTCAGAAGAAGACATCAAATCTCTTGGAACTGGGGTTAAAGATGGTTTTTAGCTGCCACGTGGGTGCTGAGAACTGAACCTGAGTCCTCATCAAGAGCAGCCAGTGCTCTTAACCACTGAGCCATCTCTCCAGCTACAATTTATGTGATTTGATGGACCTTCAAACCTTTAGTAACTCTAGCATTGTAAATCTTTTCCACATTATTCATAATCACTCAAACTTCTTTCTTCCCTCTTAGTTCACTGGTCCCTCTCCCTTGTCTAATTTAGAAGGTCTTAAGTTGTTTGCCATTATGTTCTATGATCTTTAGGTTATTAAGGATGATGCAGGAACAGGCAAGTATAGAATTTCAAGCTTGCCATCTCACCTCTGATGGGACAGTTTTACGTTAGTTTTCTGAAAATTTCTTGCTTTGAAATATTTAATAATTCTTTCCACTCACAACTACAACTAAAGGCACAAGCATTTACCATATGCAAATTATGCTAATTGTTTTAACTCACATTAGCCTCAAGGTTACACAGAACAGAGGGTATGTGATTTGAGTGGCAAAACTGGGACTTGTCAGTTGATTCCTGAACCTGTGCTCCCCCCCCCCGTTTTAAATTTTTTATTTATTTTTCTGTGTATGAGTGTTTTGCCTGCATGTATGAGTGCATCATCTGCATGCAGTACCCACAGATACCAGAAGAGGGCTCCAGATTCCCTGTAACTGGAGTTATGGATGGCTGTTAGCCACCATCTGGGTGCTGGGAACTGAACCCAGGTCCTCTGCAAGAGCAGACAGTGCTCTTAACCACTGAGCCATCTCTCCAACCCAGTGTGTGTTTTAATGGTACCATACTGTGTCTACCAAGAACTGTGCTACTATGTATCTTAGTATAAAAAAAGGTGTTATTTTAACTTGCATCTACATTATTTCTTAAGGGAAGAAGTGTTATACTTTCCTCTAGCTCTACAACTTTTTACATACTAATTTAAACTTTCTAGAGTTAGCAATTAATTTTGTGTGTAAAGTATATATGTGGGTACATTGCCACAACATGCATGTGGAAGTCAGAGGGTAACTTTGTGCAGCTGGTTCTCTCCTTTTACCTTTCTGTGGGTTCTGGGAATTGAACTCAGGTCATTAGGCTTGCATGGCAGTGATAAGTGCTTTACCTGTTGGGCCATCTTGCTGACCCTAGAGTCAGGAATTGGCCATCAGGAATGAGACAATTCAGAGATTACTATATGACATTTCAATTGTAAGATTTGTAAAACGTGTAGTAAGCATTACTAGGACACTTTAAGGAATGGAAAAAGTAACTTCCAGTTTTCAACGAGTTATTAGTACTGAGCTGATACTGGAATTATCCAGAGGAAATGTACAGAAAGAATAATCCAGATGAAAATACAGAGTTGATGAGGGCAAGTTAAGTAGAGGCAGTAATACAAACCAAAAGAAAACAAGCTTCTCAAGAACATGAGTAAAAAATAGTAGTGTATCGAGGAAGGGACTTTGAAAAAATAGGGAGAAAAAGAGCCAGGAAAAGACAAAGAAGAAATCATTGTCTTGGTGAGGGGGTGGAGGAAGGAACTCTGTAGCATGTCAAGGAAGCCAAATTTGAGAAAGAGAACTCACCAGAGGTAGGTGGAGACATCCTTACTTTTAGTAGAATGGCAGTTTGGAGCCAACAGAGAAGACGTGAGTAACATTTGACAGAGGAGCTCAAGGCAGGAAGGGTAGTTAAGGAATCAGTAGTAAACTGAGGTGAAATTTAGGACAAGCAGTCATTCATTCATGTTAGATGGCTAAGAGGTAAGCCACGGATGGAGGAAGCTATGAAATAAGCTAAATAAGGCAGTGAATAAACATTCTTCAATGTTGAAAAATAAAGCAGATCATCAAAGATTAAAGTTTTCCCAGTAAAAGAGATAGTTGTTGAGGTCATTGGGAAAAAGGAGTTAACTATAATAAAGGTTGAATTTATTGCATAAAGATACTAGGAAGCTAAGCCATGATGGAAATAGTGGAAGTCAATTACTGGTAAGTAGTTAGGGTTGGGGAGGTGGTTCCTGAGAGGATGTGGCCTTTCTGCAGTGTGTTTGTAATGACAATGGAGGTGAACCTTCATGGAAAGTCATATGGCCTTAGAGTTTGAAGCATAATCATATAGATGTGAATGTGAACAAGAAAGGTTTGGGATCAGGGGAGGGATAAAAAAATCAGAGTTGTTGACATGAATGAGTCCTGGGAAAGAGTATTTAAACATCTTTATTTCAGGGCAGTCAAACAGAATAATGTTTGTTATCTAGGGGGTTAATGAACTGAGTACCAAAAAAACGCAAAGAACTAGAGAGCACCGTTAATGGTGACTGAGCTGTCATGAAGTGTGTCCCTTCAGCCCAAGCAGCCTGGACTCTGTCTCATACGTACTTAAATTCTGCATTTCTTTTCATTTGAAAAAATGAGTTCAAGGCAAAAGATAAGTTATTCAGTGTATTACAGACACGTGAAACAACTAAGTGCATAGTGGCTGTTTAACAATTGGTCTTCTGGCACAGTTGCCTGGTTTATCCTTGGCATTTTGTAGTTTTTTATTACCCAAAACCAAAGGCCTAAAATGTTGGGACTTGAGCCTCAAATACTTGGTAATTATGATAACAAGTCTGAGCATTTTTTGAGTGTGTACACTAGACACTCCACCTTGTGTTTGCAAGATTATTTCATTTGATCTTCACAGTAACCTCTCAGAATGCATCTGTTAGCGCCATTTTACAAATGGACCAAGTAAGGCTCAAAAATACGATGTGCAATATCACCAAGACAAAAATAGGAATGCCAGGACTTGAAGTTGGCTGTCTTTAAAGCTCGAGCTCCTGATTGTTATGCTACGAGGCACTGAATGTCAGTATCTCTGGCAACATTCTCTGAATCTTAAAATCTTATATATCAAGAACAATAGAAAAAATTGAAAGCTATTGACTCCTTTCAAAGTGATGTATAAAATAGACAAAAATAGGCTCTTTTATTGAAGAAAGAATGAGGAGGACCTGTTCTTCCCACACTTTCCTTGCTCCTGAGGTGTCTCGGAGAGATCAGTAGGTTTCTTTGAGCATATTCTGAAAAGTTACAGGCTTATAAATAAGGATAAGTGTAATTATATAGTTTTTATCAATTCTTTGGTTTTCCCATGAATTTATAAGAAGCATAATTAAATAATAACTTTATTTCTTTTAAGATTTTTAGGTTTTTTATTTTACTTTTGGTTTTTTAAGGCAGGTTCTCCTTGTAGCCCCAGCTGATCTGGAACTCATTATGTAGACCAGGCTGTCCTCAGTCTCACAGAGATCCACCTGCCTCTGCTTCCTGAGCACTGGGATTAAAGGTGTGCACGACCACACCTGATTTAAGGTTTTTTTTAAAAATGTATCTCAGTTATCACAATACTTATTTTAAAAAATTAAGTGATTTATCCACTGTGGTTCGTATGTAAAGCTGACTTACTTGGTTGAGCTGTGTTGCAATCATGCTGAAGTTACCAGTCAAAAAGTCTGATAATTGAATAGTCTGTTAACTTCATATATATTTGATTTTGATAATGTATAAAAATAACTCTTTTTCTTTTTTGAAACAGGGATTGCTTGGCATTTTGCACAGAACCAGTTTTTGCTAGTTTAGCCAATGTTCTTGGTAACTGGGAAAATCTACCCTCTTCAATATCTCCAGACATTAAGGATTATAAACTTTATGATGTAGAAACTAAGTATGGTTTGCTTCAGGTATGTAGTTGTATTCAACATGAAAAATCTTTTCTCCTTTAAAAGTAATTTTTATGTAGTTCAAACTTAGCCATGTAAACTGCTGTATGTAAATCTTTCGTTAAATCTTTTGGTTATTTCCATTATTTTTCTGTGGTTTATTGATAGGCTTAAGTTTTATCTAAATATATATATATGACAGGATCTCACTATGTAGGTCTGGCTAACCGAGCACTCTGTAAACCAGGTTATCTTTGTACTTTCAGAGATTTGCTTGCCTCTGAGTGCTGAGATTAAAGGTGTGCACCACCATGCTTAGATAAGTTATATATATATATTGGTCTTTAAATTTTTTTTTATTTAATGTGTATAAGTGTATTGCTTGCTTGTAGGTAAGTGCACCCGTGTCATGCAACGCCGATGGAGGTCAGAAGAGGGTGTTGGGTTCCCTGGAACTAGAGTTACGGATGGTTGTTAGCCTCCATGTGGGTGCTGGGAATCGAATCTGGGTCCTCTGCAAGAGCAGCCAGTGCTGTCAACTGCTGGGTTGTCTCTTCAGCCCCTATTTTGGTCTTTTTGAGATGGGGTCTCCCTGTATCCCCAGCTGACCTGGACTCATTATATAGACCAGGCTGTCCTTGATTTAATAGAGATCCAGCTCCCTCTGCCTCTTGGGTACTGTGATTAAAGGTGTGCACTACCACGCCCAATTAAGTTATATTTTAGATATATGAAGCTGATAACATTGATAACTTTTGATGAGCAGCACTTACTGCTAGATGGGTTTCCTTTGATTCTTTTGAATGGTGTAAATTTATTTAATAAACAAAGCATTAAGTAACAATGAATAAAGTATTATCTTTAAGAAAATTAGTGGATATGAGGGTATTAGTACTCTTTTCATACATGCCTAGTTTTTCAGACTTTCTCTGCTTACCAGAGTAATATTTTTAACTCCATAGATTAGATTTATAGTAAGTCCTGAGTTCCTTTGAGATAGAAATCACATAATTTACTAAATAATTATTCAAATAATATTTATTTATTTTGCGTGTGTGTGTGTGTGTGTGTGTGTGTGTGTGTGTGTGTGTGTGTGTGTGTGTGTTACTCAGAGGACAGTTTATGGGAATGGGTTCTCTTCTGCCATGTATGCTCTGGATGGAACTCTGCACATCAAGCTTGTCAGAAAGTGCCTTTACCTTCTGAGCCATCTTGCCACTCCTTGTGTACTTTTTCCTTTGTTGTTTGTGCTTTTGGTTTTATATCCAAAATGTGAAACATAATGTCATGAAAGAAACTTTGCTCTGTTTTCCTCCTAAAAGTTTTGTAGTCTTTGATCCATTTTGAGTTTTTTTTTTTTTTTTTTTTTTGTGCTAGGAATTGAATCCAGGGCCTTTCACATGCTCAGTACTTGATCAGCATTGTGCTACATCCATAGCCATAATAAGTCAATTTTTATAAACAGCATAATGCTTCAACTTCATTCTTTAATGGGTGGCTTCAGTTATACTAGCACCATTTGTTGAAAAGTCTGACTTTTCCCAGTTGAATGGTTTTAGTACCCTCATCAAAATTATTTGACCATATGTACAAGACTTTATTTCTGAGTTCCTCATTGCTTTCCATTGGTCTATGTGTTTATACCAGTACACAACCAGTTTGATTTATTGTTTTGTAAATGTATCTGGACTTTTTCCTAAACTGTGAAATGGTTCCAAAGATTAACAAATAGTTAAACAAACAAAAAACAGAGTCTAAGGCGATAGCTCAGCAGATAGTGCCTTTTGTTACAAGCATGAGGACCCGAGCATATTCCCTGGACTTAGTCTAAAAACTAGGTATGCCTATGCATGTTCCTGTAATCCCAGTTCCATTGGGTGTAGAGACAGGACAGTTGCTAGGGCTTGCTGGGTACCAGCCTAGGTCTAGACTCAGTGAGAGTCCCTGTCTCAAAAGAATGAGGTGGAAAATGACAAAAGATATCCGCATTCTCCTCTGGCTTCCAGGTGTTAACATGTTGCATGTGCATATGTGTGTATAGTACTGATGTGCATTTTAGAACTATCATGCCAGAAGAGTGGCATTTTAACAAAAGTATGTAGGACATGATCCTTATATATAAATATAAAAATGCCAGGTCCCTGAAATACATAAAATGTTTGTGTGTGTGTGTGTGTGTGTGTGTGTGTGTGTGTGTGTGTGTATTTTTTTTTTGTATAGTTAGGGAAACTCTAGCTTTGGAAAACTCAGTATGTCTTCTAAGTTATATTTGGGAATAATTTTTTGTTTTTTTTATTTTTTATTTTTTTGGTCTTTCTGAGACAGGGTCTCCCTGTAGCCCCGGCTGGCCTGGAACTCACTATGTAGACCAGGTTAGCCTTGATCTCACAGAGATCTGCCTGCCTCTGCTTCCTGAGTGCTGAAATTAAAGGTATGTGCTACCACACCAAACTGGGAATAAATATATTAAAAAAAATGATGACTTTATAGACATACGCGGGTGCCAAGGATCCAAGTGCAACCAATTTTGACTAGTAATAGATACATACAGATTAGAGATGCATGTGCCAGCATCTCAGTGTTAGTAGCAAAAACAATGAGTTTCTGCAAGGAACAATAAATTCTAAAATGAAATGGAGATCTTTTTTAAAGGTTAAAAACTCATTCAATTTTATGTCTTACAGGGCTTATACTGAGTTCAGTATTGTATAACTGTATTAATTCAACTGTGAACCTAGAAACTTACAGCCACTTGTGAAAGAGATGTGCTCTGGAGTGTGTTACTGAATATGTTAAAGCTGTAATGAAATGCTTCTTCTAATCATGTAGTTATTAAAAATTAAAAACAATTATTTATTTTATGTGTATGAATGTTATGCCTGCATATATGTAAGTGCACCCATGTTGTGCAGTTCCCATGGAGGGCAGAAGAGGGTGTCAAATTTCCTGGAACTGGAGTTATGGATGATTGTTAACCAGCATGTGGGTGCTGGGAATCGAACCCAGGTCCTCTGCAAGAGCAGCCAGTGCTCTTAACCACTGAGTCATCTCTCCAGCCCCAAATATTTATTAATATGCAAAATTTTAACATTTTTATTAGCACATTAATAGTGGGTTTCATTATGACCTTTTCATACATACAAATAACATGTTTTGATCCTGTCCACCCCCCATTATTACTCTGTCTTTACATTCTCTACCTGATGATTCTCTTCATCTTCTTCTTAATTTGTTCCTCTTGTACTTGAATGTTTTATTTATTTGTTATTTGTTTATTATTTGTTTTATTTATTTTGGTGAGCCAGTGAGTTAAATTAGGGCTGTTTACAGGAGCATGGATGATGGAGCAATGCGACCTCACCGGTGCTATATTATTGAAGACAATGTCTCTCCTTCTAGCAACCATCTTGGGACCACAACAGTCTACCCCGTCCTCTGGTCCTTACATTCTTTCTGTCCTCTCTTCTGAGATGTTCCCTTAACCTTGAAGGGCCTGATACGAACAGCTGAACACTCAGTAGTCTCAACACTTTGATCAGTTATCAGTTTCTGCAATAACCACTGCCAACTGCAAAAACAATCTTCTCTGATCAAAGGTGATGCCTGCACTAATCTCTGGTGGGCATAAATATAATTATTTATAAGACAGTTTGACAGATCTGTCATGTCTGTTTAGTAAAATAACAGCAGTAACTTCCCTATTAAGGCCTATGATCTCCCCAGCTGTGGGCTTTTGATCAAATTTACAGTATCAGATGTGGATTCCCCCCTGTGGAGTGGGCTTCAATTCCAGTCAGAAAGCAGCTGGTTGCTCCCCATAACAGACTTGCCACTAGTGTACTAGTAGGTCCATCTTGTCTGTCAGGTTGATAGTCCACAACTGAATAAGACTGTTGATGGGTGATTGTTGTCCCCCAACAGCCTGCCATAGTACCTTTAGGCACTGTGAGGCCAAGCCAGCAGGGAGGAAGCTTCGAGCTCAGTTCCAGCTTGATTTCTCTGTGTCGTATGACCAAAGCATATAGTATCTTCAGCCACAGGGTCTTACTGTCTAGTTTTGGTGGGCAGCCAACCTTAGTGGCAGTTGCCTGTATTGTCTTGGAGGCCTCCCTGACCAGCGGCTTACAGGAAGGTAGTCCACCCCTGGCAGTGAATTTTCATTTAATAACATATAAGACTTCTGGGGGCAGCTGCAAATGTACATCTTATTTATTTATTATATTAGTCACTGAGGAATACATGGACAATTAGAAGTAGCAGAAAAATGAAATTGGAAAGATAATAACAGGTCCTGATTGGTGATAGAGAATAATGAAGAATTTTAAGTAGGGCAAATGACCTGTTCTGATGTGCATTTATATTAAACTAATTATTTGTGTGTATGTGTGTGTGTAGGTATATGTAGGTATGAGCATGTGCCATGGCACACATGTGGAGGTCAGAGGACCACCTGGCTCAGTCATTTCTTTCCTTCCACTATGGGATCTTGGGGATAGAATTCAGGCTACCTGGCTTGCATGTAAGTGCTTTTACCTGTTGAACCATCTAGCTGGCCTTATATTTTTATTTTATACTTTACTGTACTTTGTGGACAAAGCCTCACGATAGTCCAGGCTGGCCTTAAACTTAAGATTCTCCTGCCTCAGCCTCTTAAGTAGTTTTGTAGATTTTCACTACCACATGTGGCACTGATTTGCATTTTTGAGTTATCATGACAGACTGCTGGAACTGTTTGGTATCAAAAGTATATGAGAAAAGATCTCTATAGAATTTAGTTTTAGGATCAAACATAAATTTGTAAGCGTTTAACATACTATTTACATCTAGAAAATAATGATAGGGATTTGTTTGTAGATAGAATCTCACTCTAGCCCTAGCAGTCCTGGAACTCACTGTGTAGCCCAAGCTGGCCTTGAATTCAAGGTGATCCACTTGTTCTAGGCCTCTGAGTGCTGGAATTCTAGATATGAACTACCACGCTCAAATTATTAATTAATTTCTGGAGTGCTGCTAGGCAAACACTCTACCTCACTGAGCCACATCCTCAGCCATTGAATGATAGTTGTTTTTATTTTTCAAAGTCAAGGTCAAAGATCATAGAAAGGACTAGAGGTAGCATGTAGTTAGGTAGAGGTAGAGGTCAACTAGACTGTGTGATAAGTAACTAGGGATGTAGAGATTTGAAGTAGTGTGGAATCTACTATGATTTCTTGAATTTATTAAGAAGTTAATGTACCACTGTTTGGGATATTCCACCAGTGTGTTGTGTTGGAGAGCTGGGTGGCTGCTTCAGTAGCCCTGCTAGGGACAGTGGTCCAGAGTAGGGAAGATGGTCAAACTGGATCTTCTTCTCGGTGTATTTGATGGTGGTGGTGGTGGAGGGTGGTACAGTATGGTTCAAAAGTTTTTGTCCTTAGCAAATAGAAAAATGAAGTGATTTTTAACCAATACTGTAAAGATTATGGGAGAAATTGCTGAATTCTGGGTAGAAACGCAGATTTTGATTCCTCTGAGATTGAGATGCTGCTTATAGGAGACCTAAGGGGAGAGAAAGTAGTGAGGTGACCAAGTCTGGGCTTTAGCACAGAGGCCCAGGCACAGATAGTGGGAGTAATCAGTATGACTGATGAAGACCTTAGAGCACTTAGGAAAGTGAAAGCAGCCAGCCCTTGCAGAACTGACTCTGTGAATAGAAATGAGGAAGTAGGAAAACAGACTGAAAAGTTGTATCTGGGAGAGTCTGAGGACAACAGGGATTGATTCTTGGAAGTCAAGAGAGTGTTCACTTCCCAGAATCTACTTCTCCCTAATAACTTAGTGCTTAATAATTGATGCTTAATATTTTATTTACCAAATTTTACAGTAATCTTCATTGTAAATACAAAAAATTACCAGGTATTTATTTAGTGTGACAGTAAATATTTAAAAACTAAGCATAAAAATTAAATTTCAATATAAGGTATAACTATATAAAAATTTTATTAACTATATCTATAACTCACATCAGTGATTCTCCTGTTTCAAGCTCTAGAAACGAATACATTTAGAAAGCAAAAACTTACCTTTATGTTGCCCATAACAAGAAGATTCTTAGTAGATAGTTATTTGGTTTTATTATAAGATTTTCCACACTGATTTGATTGCTAGCTGACATGCAAAAACTCTTAATAGGAAAACCACCAAGGAGTTTTATTCAGTATAAAAGGTTACTTTTTAGTTGGGCATGGTAACATACACCTTTAATCCCATCACTCAGGAGGAGAGGCAGGAAGATCTCTGTAAGACCAGCCTGGTCTCCAGAGTGAATTCCAAGCCAACTGTGGTTACAGTTGGCTTACTACTGTGGTTAAAGAAAACAAAACTAAAACAAAGTCAGATTTTCCAAGGATTTTTTTTTTTTCTCTTCTATTTCCAGGTTTCTGAAGGGTTGTCATTTTTGCATAGCAGTGTGAAAATGGTTCATGGGAATATTACTCCTGAAAATATAATTTTGAATAAAAGTGGAGCCTGGAAAATAATGGGCTTTGATTTTTGTGTGTCATCAATCAATCCTTCTGAACAAGAGGTAATGAAGGCTTTTAGTCTTCAGTTGCTTTTATTTATTGCCTGTGTGGATGTAAGTTCACCCATGTCATGCAATGCTCGCAGAGTACAGAAGAGGGCATCGGATCTCCTGGAACTGGAGTTAACAGGCAATTGTTAGCCACCATGTAGGTGCTGGCATTCAATCCCGGGTCTTCTGCAAGAACAGCCAGTGTTCTTGACTGCTGAGCCATCTCTCCAGCCTGCTGGAAATCTGTGATTGTATCTGGAATAGACTAGAAAATATAATGTAATTCTGATAAATGTATGGAAGTCAATAGTGGTGTTATGGGTATGTTTAACTTTACAACTTTAAAGAAAATTTCTAGTGTTCTTTGTATCTAAAAGTATTTTTCAGATTACTAATTCCATAGAAGTCTTGAGAAAAGAGTCATAGAGTTAAATGAAATTGAACTGACTGTTTAGTCAAACAGGACTGCTGTGAACCTCTCATCATTTCCCAGCTTGTTAGACTATAGGGTCTTCCTTAGGGGGCACAGCAGCAGTGGCAATGGTAACAGCAGTTAGCACTTACTGAAATATTTTCTTTCTTTTTTTAAAATTTTATTTTATTTTTATTTTATGTGTATACATGTATCACGTGCATGTAGGTAAGTGTACCTGTGTCGTGCAATGCCTGTGGAGGATAGAAGAGGCTGTTGGATCCCCTAGAACTGGAGTTATGGACAGTTATTAGCTGCCATGTGGGTGCTAGGATTTGAACCTGGGTCTTCTGCAACAGTAGTCAGTGTTCTTAACCACTGAGCCATCTCTCCAGCCCCTGAAATATTTTCTTTAGTTTTAAAAAGAAATTATTTTTATTTTTTATGTATATGAGTGTTTTGCCTGCGTATATGTAAGAGCACTCATGTCATGTAAGAGCACTCATGTCACCAGAAGAGGGTGTTGGAACTGGAGTTAGAGATGGCTGTGAGTTGCCATGTGGGTGCTGGGAACCAAACTTGGGTTCTTAACTGCTGAGTCACCTCTACAGCTCCCAATTTTTTTTTTTTTTTTTTTTTTTTTTTGAGACAGGGTCTCCTTGTAGCCACAGCTAACCTGGAACTCACTATATAGATCAGGTTGGCCTCGAACTCACAGAGATCTGTCTGCCTCTGCCTCCTGAGTGCTAATGTTAAAGGCGTGTACCACCATGCCTGGCCTCTAGCTCCTAATTTTACAGATCAATTAAATTTGTTCTTTGACAGTTTCATGCATGCATATAGCATATTCTGTTTATTCTCATCCTATTTTCTAAACACTTTTCATGTATTTTTATTTAATCCTTAACAATAATTCGGCAGTGTTTAGGGCCAAGAATAAATAAGTTGTAACGAATAAAGTAACATATCTAGGTTTGGGTGGGTGCTGAGTGGTCCAGATAGGATTTGAGCTCAGTCTTTGTACTCCTAGGCACCTGTTTCTTAGTAATTTAGGATGTTTGTCTACTCACTCTTAAGAGAATTAAGGATGGTAGTGGCATTTTTTACTTGAGTGATATAAAACAAATTTAAAGATAGCTACAACTTGATAATGGTTTGCTTTCACTTGAAATATTTAACCATGTCATCCTTTTCCTGTCTTCTTACAGCCTAAGTTTCCTTGTAAAGAATGGGACCCAAATTTACCATCTTTGTGTCTTCCAAATCCTGAATATTTGGCTCCTGAATACATACTTTCTGTGAGCTGTGAAACAGCCAGTGATATGTACTCTTTAGGAACTGTGATGTATGCTGTATTTAATAAAGGGAAACCGATGTTTGAAGTCAACAAGCAGGATATTTATAAGAGTTTCAGTAGGCAGTTGGATCAGGTATTTGCCTATAGATATTTGCTTGTTTAAAGCTTTTTTTCTAAAATATAGATGGAAAAAATTAATTTATTCTTTGAGAATTTCATACATGCAAACAGTGTATTTTGCTCATATTCACCCCTTATTCCTACCCTAATGCTACCTAGATCCACCCTTTTACCTCTGATCTTTGTCTCAACTTCATCCCCGTCTTTTTTTTTTTTTTTTAGTGGCCACATCCTTAAGTAAAACTGATCTCCCTCTCCCACCAGCCATCAGCTGTCACTAGCTCCTTAGCTAGGATTGGGGTCTTATGAACCTCTCCCTCTTCCATGCTGTAGTGTTGATTGGCTTGATCTTGTGCAGCTCTTTTGCAGACAATCAAGAAGAGTACCTCATTTCAAGTTTGCATAAAATTAATTCAGTAATATAATTTCTATAAATAATGAAGACTACTAGAAGTTTGTTACTACAAATTTAATTATGGCATTTATTAGGTTGAAAGTTGAAATGTGAGCTAAAAATACTGGGCATTTTACTTTAGAAATGTAAATACTTGGAGGTATTAAAGATACGAGCTTTCAGTCTATAGCCACATTATAAAAATGGCTCTAATCTTTTTAATGTTTTGTCCTCACATGTAATATGCTTGCTCTTTTGATCAGTTGAGTCGTTTAGGATCCAGTTCGCTTACAAATATACCTGAAGAAGTTCGTGAACATGTGAAACTATTGTTAAATGTAACTCCAGCTGTAAGACCTGATGCAGATCAAATGACAAAAGTGAGTACATTCACATTAAAAAAAATTCTTTTTCTTGAGACAGGTCTCACTGTTAAACTAGGCTTGCCCTAAACTCATAGGCCTCTGCCTTCCGAGTTCTGGGATTAAAAGGTGTGCACCACTAACTATACCCGGCCTCTAGATTTTTGTAGTAGATGGTGGGACAGAAACAAAAATTAAAATAGATGAAACTCTTTAAAGGTATGATTTAGTTCTTAGATGATGTCTGTGTTTTTGAATATGTTAAGTATTTGGCTTTTAACCTTAAGTAGCTAAATAATTTATGCATATAATTTTTTTCTTGCTTTTTTATTTCTTAAAATAGTTATTATTTTTATTTTATGTGTATGGGTGTATTGCCTGCATGCATGGAAGTGCACTCATGTTGTGCAATGCCCGAGGAGGTCAGAAGAGGGCGTCGGATCCCCTAGAACTGAAGTTACAGACAGTTGTCAGCTGCCATGTGGGTGCTGGGATTCGAGCCCAGGTCTTCTGCAAGAACAGTCAGTGTTCTTAACTGCTGAGCCATCTCTCCAGCCCCCTACATATAATTTTTGTGTTAGAAAATCAAGATATCAGATTAGCAGAGTCCGATAGGGAGGTAGACTTTTTGGACTTTTCCAAAAAGTCAGAACATTCTCTTTTACTTACTGATTTTAGTAAATAGTATTCTTCATACTTCAAGATATTTTAGTCTTTCAATATTCTAGAGTTGTGTAAAATAATGTTTTTGCTCAGTGTTCTAGTTAATTTTCTGTTGTTGTGATAAAACACCAAAAAACAACTTAGTGAGAAAAGCATTTATCTTATAGCTTACAGTCCATTATCGAGGGAAGTTACGGCAGGAGCTCAAGCAGAAACCATGGAGAACACTGTTTACTGGCTTGCTCAACTACCTTTTTTATAAAGCCCATGCCCCCATGCCTAGGACTGGCACTGCTCACAGTGGGTTGGGTCCTCCTACATAAATTAGTAGTCAAGAAAATGCCCCACAGATGTGTGCACAGGCTAATCTGATGGAGGAAATTCCTTAATTGAGGTTCTGTCTTCCCAGGTTACACGAGTTTGTGTCAAACTGACAAAAACTTAACTAGTACATGCAGCTAATTTACAGGTACCTGAGACTGATGGTTTGAATTTGAAAAATTATTTTCTTACTCTGATTTAAAAAAATTTTTTTTAAATTTTATGTTTTTTTAAAATATTCCTTTTTTAGAAGAAGCATATCATTACAGCTTTAACATTTAGAATTTTAAGTTATCTTTAGCATACTGCTATTTTTGAATGCTTTTCACTTTGTTGCAGCAATTTTAAATATGAGTAATTTCAACTTAATTGATTTCCATACTTTTAGATTCCCTTCTTTGATGATGTTGGTGCAGTAACACTTCAATATTTTGATACCTTATTCCAAAGAGATAATCTTCAGAAATCCCAGTTCTTCAAAGGATTGCCAAAGGTTCTACCAAAGCTGCCCAAGGTTTGTTCATCAGTTTTTTTGCTTAGTCAGGATTTTTAAATTTAATGTTTACTTTGACTTTCTAGAAAGAACTCTTTCTGGAAACAACAAAAAAGTACAACTTTTACCTTAGGTACATAAATGACAATAAAATGCTGTAAGCTGAAGTCGAAAGTTTAGTTATGGTGCAAAAATAAATAAGACTTTAAAAATTAGAAGGATGCTGCCTGTGTCAAGGCTCCCTGGGCTGGACATGGTCAAAAGAGATTTCTGTAAACTGTCATTGTGGAGATCCCTGCCCTAGCAGTCAAGGGGGATACTTCTGTATTGATGTGAACATTTGCAATTCTTTTTCTCTCCTCGGAAACAGCGAGTATAAAATAGTATTAAAATGTTGACACTGGTTGTAACACTGTTAATTCCTGCTTCTACAATCATTCCACAGCCTCACCTGTTGCATAGCCTGTTTACTATTTGTCTAGCTCTTCACTTAAATATGGAGAGTAACAGGAAGCAGAAATACTGCACATGTTCTCAAGTCCATTCCCATAACCCATAGCTAGGTAAGGTAGATACATATGAATTAGCAGCTGATAATCAGGATTCAGGGTAGTGTTTAAGTTGGGTGCCTTAAAGCATAAATAGTGGTGGGATGAAGAGGAGAAATGTGTCAGTGCAGACTAATTAGGGAAGGTTTCTAAAGGCAGGGTAATCATATATCCCATTTTACTCAGGATATTCCTGTCTCTGCTGTTTGCCTTGGCATAACTAGCAATGGCATTTCATTCTCTCTAAAAGGTATTGCAGTTTCAACCATAAATATATAGTATATTGCATAGCAGTATAAATAACTGAAGATCTGAAATAAATTTGGTTTTACAGCGTGTCATCGTGCAGAGAATTTTGCCTTGTTTGACTTCAGAATTTGTAAACCCTGACATGGTACCTTTTGTTTTGCCTAATGTTTTACTGATTGCCGAGGAGTGCACCAAAGAAGAATATGTCAAATTAATTTTGCCAGAACTTGGTCCTGTATTTAAACAGCAGGAGCCAATCCAGGTATGTTGTAAGTACTTCTGCATATTTATATCTTATTACTATGATAGTGACTGACTCTAAATATAAAAAAGTGAATATTTGAGTTTTTAAAAATTGAGGTAAGTATATGAGATTCTCTTTTTCATTAGAAAGGAAGTTAGTTTGCATGTGTTAAACCATTCAAAAAACTAGAATGACCCTTAGCAGGTGAGTGTCTGTGGCGATCCATAAGTCATTGTCTTGCAAAATTTCATTGCAATTTATTTTCTATGTGTTACATTATTCCCCAGGTGACTTACTGAAAGTTACCAATTTAAGGAAAACAATAGTAATTTTTTTTCAGAACTTGCAGGTGTTTGATTTGATTTGTTATTCTAGTCATTAATTTGTAGATGATTTGTGTCATGATTTTTATGTGTATGAGTGTATTACCTGCATGTATATAAGTGCACCTGTGTTGTATAATGCCCATGGAGATCAGAAGAGGGCGTCGGATCCCCCTGGAACTGGAGTTATGGGTGGTTTTTAGCTGCCTTGTGGGTGCTGGGAATTGAACCAGGGTTTTCTGCAAGAACAGCCATTACTCTTAATTGCTGAGCCATCTCTCCAGCCCCGTAGGTTGTCTTGAATTTAAGAATAATGAATTTATATACCTGGATTTGAATCTGGGTTTGTCTCTTTTCTCGAACAACATATTGCCATCTAGAACAATGTCATTGCCATCTTAAAGCTTTCATTTTCTCACTTCTAAAATGGGAAGAGTTGCTGAGATTAATGACATTTCTGTCATATATTAAGTATTACGTGTTTTTGTCAGCTATTAAGTATCCTATGTAGTGGTTTTATGACTCTTTGTAGTTGCTCCCTTGAAAAGGGGTGAATTATTTTACTTAATTAAAAAAGCTTCCAATTAACGTATATTTATTAAAAAAATTTCCAATTAAAGTTTAAAGTGTTTGATATTTTTTTTTTTTTTTTTTTTTTTTTTTTTTTTTTTTGAGATAGGGTTTTCCTGTAGCCCCAGCTGGCCTGGAACTTGCCATGTATGTAGCTGTCCTCCATCTGCCCGCCTCTGCTGCCTGAGTGCTGGAATTAAAAGTGTGTCATTATGACATTTTTGAACAAAGTGTGTTGTATCAGTTCTGTCTCCCTCCCATTTGCCCAACCCCCTGATACCCCTAGTCTCCTCTTAACACCTGCCTGCCTCCAGTCTTTCTCCTAAAAGACAAGAATTTAGAAAGCACACTGGGGGTTGTTTCTGTGAACTAGGTTTGAAAAAGCACAAGACAGAGCTTTAAACTTTAAAGCAGGGCTTCCCTGCTCTTTGTCACAGTGTCATGAAGAAAATTTAAGCCTCTTACATTCCCTGAGCTGTGTGTCAGTAGTAATAGTATCCTAAGACACATGCGATCTCAGTTCTCATGTGCCCCCATTCGTACTGTGGTGTTAGTTTTGTCTGTCAGCCTGACACAGTATGGAATCACCTGAGAAGGGAGTCTCCGTGAGGAATTGTCTAGATTAGGTTGGCCTGTGTGCATGCCTGTGAAGGACTTTTCTCAAAAGAGGGAAGGTGCACCCTGAATGTGGGCAGCACCATTTCATGGGCTGAGCCCTGAACTGAACGAAAAGGAGAGAGAGCTGAGCACACCAGCATGCGAGCATCCATTCTCTTGCTCTGGGCTGTGGGCATGACTGGCTGCTTCAGGTTCCTGTCACCTTGACTTTCCTACAGTCATGGACTGCACCTGGAATTATAAACCAAATATAAACCCCTTCTCCCTTAAGTTGGTTCTTTCTAGAATTTTTTCTTATAAATCTTTTCATTTCTATACTTGATGAAATTTACCTCTTGGAGACATCTAAATTTGTTTCTTTCTGGATTTAATTTTTTTTTTTTTTTAATCCAGTAGCTTTCTAGATAGTATGTGTAGGTAAGTGATGTCTTACTGGAGCTATGTCAGAGGAGGTTAGTCTTATTTAAATGATTAAACTGAGGACTGACATTAAGTATTACAGAAATGTAAGAGACTTGATGTGTATGTTTTTGTCTTCCATGCCTTCAGGCTAGCAACATGGTGAGTGTTAAAATACATCACTTTTTCTTGTGAAAACACTTTAAATTTTGGCATATATTGAATTTCTTAAAGTTTCTAGACTTTAATACATTTTACCTTTCTCCACACAGATTTTGTTAATTTTCCTACAAAAAATGGATTTGTTGCTAACCAAAACCCCTCCTGATGAGATAAAGAACAGTGTCCTGCCTATGGTCTACCGAGCACTAGAGGCCCCTTCCATTCAGATCCAGGTACAGTATCTGATTTGTTTTTCCTTAATGATGATTTTGATTATTAAAACAAGAGAAAGCAGTAAGGTATATTTCAGATTAAATCTTAACATTTTATACACAACTGAATAGTAAATATCTTTGTTGAATTACACTATTGATGCATTGTTACTACAATGTACTGACCTCTAACTAAAGAATAAATTGGAGCCATTGTGGTAACACATGCTTGTAATCCTAGGATTTGAGAGGTAGAGTCAGATTAGGGATTCATGACCAGCCATGGCTTCTTGGGACCCTGTCTCAAAAATCAAAAATAATAATAAACATTAAGAATAAGTTGATAAATACCTATATTTTGAATTGGACTTTCTGCTTTTATTTATGAAAAATTTCCATTATAGGTGAAAATTTGATTTATTATAGTTTTAATTATCCTGTATCTTTTTTTCCTATTTCCTTCTAAATGGATAATTATGAATGAAACTTTTAAAATATATTATTTGATTCAGTGAGTATAGGTGCCTGCCTAGTGACCTGAGTTTGAGCCTCAGAGTCTAGTTGGTGGAAGGAGAGAACTGACTCCTCTAAGATATCCTCTGTTCTCTACAAGCATGCTGTCTATGGCATGCACATACACATATAACACACACATGGAATAAATGTAAAAATAGTATATGTGCCTTTTTCTTAGGTGCTTTTCAAACTTAAATTTTTCTGCCAGGTATGGTGGCACACACCTTTAATCCCAGCACTTGGGAGTCAGAGGCAGGCAGATCTCTGTGAGATCAAGGCCAGCCTGGTCTACGTAGCCGGTTCCAGGCCTGCTGGGGCTACAGGAAGACCCTCTAAAAAAGAATAGATATAATTCTTATTTTCAGTCACTCAATTTTCTATTTGAAAATGTCGCTCTTACATTGAAGTTAATTTGTGTGGCAAGATGAGCGGCTGGCAGTAGTTTCGTGTGCCTTCTTAACATGTTGATGATCATGCTTTCCTCCTGCAAAGGCAAGGTTATCACAACTTATTTTCCGAGACTGTTAGTTCTGTAGCTTTTGCTATTATTACAAGTTTGGTTCTTAGAGTTGGTTATCTTTTCTAGAAAAACACATTCTAGATTGCTATTGAAAGTACTGTTTTAGTTTAGTTCTTTTCACTTTGGAAAATACTCTGTTAAGATCATTCAGCCAGGGATGGTGGCTCACAGTTGTAATTACAGCAACGTGAAGGCTGAGGCAGTAAGAGAGCCTAGCTCAGATCAGCCTAGGCTGTATGGTGAGTCCCAGGGCAGCCAGGACTACTTCCCAAGACCTCTCAAAAAATAAAACTAAGAACACCTCATAGAACAGTGATTTCATATGCAGAAGTTTATAGTCTTTTTGCTAATCAAGAAGTTCTAATAGGGTAAAAAGACCCCAAAGAAATGTAGCCAGTTTCTGGGCTAAAAGTCAAAATGTCCTTGGGCCTGTTAGCAACATACTGTGTTCCAAAGGCCAAAAATGTCAAAAGTATTTGGGAGCTTGTATCTAATCCTTAAAAAATTTTAGGGTTACCTCTTTAGAGGGGGCAGTGTTGGAGGGGAGGGAATGGGCATGGATTTGATCAAAACACCTTATATGCATGTATGAAGTTCTCAATAAAGGTTTTGTAAAGGTTAAAAATAAAAAAATTAATAAAATAAAAAGTGGGGCTGGAGAGATGGCTTAGTGGTTAAGAACACTGGTTGTTCTTACAGAAGACCTGGGTTCGAATCCCAGCACCCACATGGCAGCTAACAACTGTTTGTAACTCCAGTTCCAGGGGGATCTGACAGCCTCTTCTGTCCTCTGTGGGCATTGCACAACACAGGTGCACTTTCCTACCTGCAGGCAAAACATGCCCACACAAAAAATTAAAAAAAAAAAAAAAAAAGTACAATTTTTGGAAGATAATTACCCCTCCCCCTCCCTTCTTTTTTTTTGTCTTTTTGAGACAGCATCTCCCTGTAGCCACAGCTAGCCTTTCGGAACTTGCTATGTAGGCCAGGCAGGCCTCAAACTTGTGTTCCCCTAGCCCAGCCTCCTGGGTGCTATAATTATAGATGTACGCTATCATGCATACCACATACTTAAAGTTACATTTTTGATGCATTTCTATCTTGGTCAACTCAGTTTATTCACAGGTGTGAGGCTGATATTTTCCCCTTCATAATTGAATCATGGGATGAGTGGAAAAGTTGTGCTTACAGCTCTCTGAAGATAAGGCATTGGGGTGCTGGCCTTTAACCTAGTACTCAGGCTAATGATGGAGGATTGCAAATTTGAGGCTAGCCTGTTCTGCATAGCAAGACCATGTCTCAAGGGAAAAAAAAACACCAACAAAAAAGCTAGTTGTGACTATAGTGTCTTGAAGCACTACCACAAGCTCTGTGTAGCTGTTTTTAAAGTGATCATTTTGAAGTCATCATTTATTATTTTTTGTAAAGAATTGTTGAAAGGACCAAATAATATAATGTATATGAAATCTATTTCAAACTATGTGACAAAATAGCCATGGAAATGTAAAACATTTCCGAATATGTGAGAGAAAGGGTGAGTCTTTCCCTAAGATTGATCAGATTTATTTTTTTAATAGGAGCTCTGTCTAAACATCATTCCAACTTTTGCAAATCTTATAGACTACCCATCCATGAAAAATGCTTTGATACCAAGAATTAAAAATGCCTGTCTACAAACGTCCTCCCTTGCTGTAAGTAATTATTAATTTTTTCTTTCACTGCTCAGTAGTTTACATAATTTTATCATTTTTAATAACATAGTTTATATAATTTTTCTTAACTGTAATGTGTATGTATAGTATTATAAAAGTAAGCCGTAATTTTTTATATCTATTTATATTTGCATGTGTATCTATGGCTCAGATGACAATTCGTTTTCCGCTTCTACCATGTGGGGTCCATTTTGCTGGCTCTTTATGTAGCTATAATGTGATTTCTCAGATGTTATTTCCTATACCCTAACTAACCTTGAGTGCTTCAGTAGAAAAGTTGAGTGTTTTTCTGCTTTAACTCACTATTTATTTTTTTTGGTTTAAAAAGAATCATGAGAGGGCCTATAGAGATGGCTCAGTGGTTAAGAGTACTGGCTGTTCGTGCAGAGAACTTGGGTTCAGTTCCCAGCACCCACATGGCAGCTGACAACCATCCATAACTCCAGTTCTGGGGGATCTGATGCCCTCTTCTGAAGGCAACATGGATGCACTTCAACACATGCAAGCAAGATACTGATATACATAAAATAAAAATAATAACATATTAAAAAATAATCATGAGAATTAAACTTGGCATATATGTAAGCCTAAAAGTTTTTTGAGTGGCTTTTGTAAATTACTTTTAATTTTAGTTACCTACCTCTGAATTTCTTTTTCCTCATTTGCCTGCTTTCAGAAAAAAGTAAAGTACAATAAAACAATGTCAGGCTGAGTCCAAGAGAAGGAAATAATTTTGCAAAAAACAGACCAAATGTAGTTGCTTTATTTTAAATATTAACCCTGAGTTACATGTTAATCAAGGAAGTTAGAATAAATTACACGGTTCTTGTTCCCATATTTCAAAAGCAGTAGTACCCCAACCTTTCTGCAACAGTAAATCTAAATTTATCACATGGATGTTCTAAATTTTTTAATGATTGATTGATCGATTTGATTTGATTGTGTGTGTGTGTGTGCACGTGCGTGCACAGGCACGTGCGTGGAACTCACTATGTAGACCAGGCTGGCCTCGAACTCACAGAGATCCGCCTGCATCTGCCTCCTGAGTGCTGGGGTAAAAGGCATGAACCACCATGCCCAGCATATGAAGACTAAATTTACAGTTAAGTATTTCATTTTACATTTTTATAAAGACTTTAACATGATAAATGCAATTTTTTTTAACAGGTTCGTGTGAATTCATTAGTCTGTTTAGGAAAGATTTTGGAATACCTGGATAAGTGGTTTGTACTTGATGATATACTACCCTTCTTACAGCAAATTCCATCCAAGGAACCTGCAGTCCTCATGGGAATTTTAGGTAACTGAAAACTTAATGTCATTTGGCATCTCCTTAATTTTTAATAATAGTTATGCAGATAAAGTTTTCAGTCTATAAAACTATTGCATTTTATCTTCATGTATATAATAACATTCAGTAGTTTGACAAATGATAGGATAAATGCCGTGCTATAATTCTAGTTATTTTAACAACAAAAGAGGCAGTAGAACCTTGACATTTATAAAGTAGAAAACTGGGGCTATTGAGCATTTGAGCACTTGATTAGTGTGGGCACAGTTCTGGGTTTAATCCCCAGTATTGCAGAGATGAGAGTTTTCTCCCATAAAAATGGTACAAAGAGGGCTGGAGAGATGGCTCAGCAGTTAAGAACACTGACTGTTCTTGCAGAAGACCCAGGTTTGAATCCCAGCATCCACATGGCAGCTAACAACTGTAACTCCAGTTCCAGGGGATCTGACAGCCTCTTCTGTCTTCGCGGGCATTGCACAACACGAGTACTTACATACATACAGGCAATACACTCATATACATTAAAAAAAAAAAAAGGTACAAAGTACATGAGACAGACAAAGCTGCGTTTTACTTTTAGAAGAAATGAAAGTGTAGCTGTGCCTATATTTAAACATCCTGAAATAAATGTTCCAAGTTTAAGTGTGAAGTCTAAAATAGATGTTTTCAGGGTATAGAGAGCATTCTGTTACCAGAATTGCTAGACTATAATAACTGAACCTGGATGTAACTAAGCCTTTAATTTTCTGTTGTCATTAAATATGCTCTTAAAGAACACAGGGCAAATATGTCATGGTGTTTAATTAATCTGCACTGATGATACAGCTGAAATCATTCTTATCCACATGTAAAAAGCATCTTTATTCTAGGGCACTGACAGAGGGAAACTCTGTCCTATACCAGTTACCAAAACACTTCTTGTACATAGGGAATTTTCATGGTTTCTATTAATTTTAGAGTGCCAGCTTCTAAAATTTATTACACTGTTTTCTCTCAGGTATTTATAAATGTACTTTTACTCATAAGAAATTGGGAATCACCAAAGAGCAGCTGGCTGGAAAAGTACTGCCTCATCTCATTCCTCTGAGTATTGAAAACAATCTCAACCTCAATCAGGTTGGAATATTTTATGCTTATTCCATTTTTTTGGCTTTTTATTTTTGGCATTATGTGCTTTTACTATATTACATATACAAGTGGCCAAAACAAGTAAAATATGCTATAGAGTTAAAGTTTATAGTACAGAGGGATAGATTATTAAAGGCCTCATTGGAGATGGTAAATGAGATTGTCTTGAAACATGTATTCAGATTTGACACAACTATAAATTTGGGACTGTAAAGTTGGTGTGAACAAAGTCATAGAATATGTTTGGGTATTTATTGTTCCATAACAAATCACCACAAAATGTTTTAGTATTTTTGAGCAATGCATACTTAACTTTTTCTATGGATCAGCCAAACTAGGGCTTAGTTTAGCTGAAGTTTCTACTCAGTTTCTTCCCCTGCTGTAATCAAGAACTTGGGTCTCATCTGAAGCTCCATCTGAGGCACATCCTCTGCTCTGCACCTAGCTTAAGTGGTTGTTGGCAGAATTTGGCACCTTTTGGGCTGTTGGACCAGGGGTCTTAGTCCTGGCTGATTGCGTACAGATGTGACTATCAGTTTTGTACCACATAAGTCTCTTCACAATGGCAGCTTTTTCTTGCAAGACCGAAGTCACAGTGTCTTAGGTAATAAAGGAAATAATATCCTGTTACTTTTGTTATATTCTGTTACTTACAAGCGATAGGTCCTGTACTGAGAGGTAGGGGAATCTACAGAGACTTAAGTAGTAGAAGAAGGGATAACTGGGGATCATTTTAAGAGCCTATCTCCCACAGGGATGGAACAATTCATTGATTGGGGAATGAGATGAGATAAAGTGAGATTAGTATGGGTAGACTTAAAAGGCCTGTCTGCTGTAGGTATTTGAACTTTGAAGATGTGGCATTTGAGCAAAGAGGAAATGTGTATTCCCAAGTTATTATAGAATTATCTCTCTACATGCACCTTTGGCTATAGTTAGCACAGCTATGTGTGTATACTGACTCCTGAGGATCAGTCTCCTAAAAGGCTGGGTACAGTGTAGCTTCCTCGTTCTTCATTCTAGCCCCAGCTCCAATGCAGTGCAAGAAACAGAAGCTGAACCAGAAAGAAACAGAATCTGACCTAGAAAGCATGATGTAAAGACTGAGAAGGGTGACTGTTTAATTATCAGAGGTGGATAGGCAGGGAAGATTGAGAATTGGGATGGAAAAGTGATGTAATAAAGGAAGTAGAAAGCTGGAGGTAGAGAAGTGAGCTGTTGGCATTGGGGAGAGTGTTGAGCAAGCAGAGTTTTGAAGGCAAAGAAATTTGTAGTTAATTACACCCAACATTTCATTTGAAGTAGTAGGATAAGCCTTTGACAGTTTGTTTTAGGTTTTAAGATGGGCAAATTGGAGATGGTGAATAAAAGGAATAGAACAGTGTGCCTGAGACAGTCTTCAACATTTTGTCATTTTGTTTTCTGATTTTAGGATGTGCTAAAATATTTTCAAGTGCTTATTTAGTTTTTACAATTCCATTTGAAGTGATGTTTACTTCAGCTTTATGATTTTGGGGGTCCTGTTTCCATTTGCAGAAATAATTTGAATTCTGGTATTTTCCATTAGTTAGGTGGGATATGGCCTGCTATTATTTCATTAGCATTGCCAGCTCAAGACTGCCCTCTGCTGACAGTTGTGGTTTAAAGTAGTTTTTTTTTCTAGTTAATTATTTAATAACCACATACTTAGAAGAAGCATTTCATTACAACAGCATTGATATATTCAATAACAATTTTCTGAGCTAAGATGCATCTTTTTCAAAATTAGTTGTAGGGATATGGCCTGCTATTATTTCATTAGCATTGCCAGCTCAAGACTGCCCTCTGCTGACAGTTGTGGTTTAAAGTAGTTTTTTTTTCTAGTTAATTATTTAATAACCACATACTTAGAAGAAGCATTTCATTACAACAGCATTGATATATTCAATAACAATTTTCTGAGCTAAGATGCATCTTTTTCAAAATTAGTTGTAGATTTTTAGGTTTACAATTGAATTATTACAGTTATACAATATTTTACTCAGTCTAAACCCAATAAGACATAAAATTAAATGAGGTTTTAACCTTTAAAAAAGATCTTCATTTCATTATTAAAATACACAGTTTCATACAGAAAAATTCTTTTTCAATGCAATTGACATTGGATGTTCGCACATGCATTTCTAATCTCTAAATATCTGATTATTACTAGTCACAGTTGGTTACTTTCTGAGCTTCTAGGCATCTGAGCATGGATATAAAGTCGTCAGGCAGATTTCAATGGTAATGTTTTTCACATCTACTCATATAATGATTAAAAAATAATTCTTCAAAGCATAAAAATTTGCTCCTTAGTTTTTTAAAAAAATAATTTATTGAGAATTTCATACATGCATATAAGGTGTTTTGATCAAATCCATGCTCACTCTCTCCCCACCAACTCCTCCCATATCTCCCCATCACTTTTTTCTGATAACTTCATGTACACTTTCTTCTTCTTTGATTTATTTTTTCTTATGGGATTTTTGGCTACTCTAACATCCGCCCCTCTGAAGAGGTAACCCTAAAATCATTTAAGGATTAGATAAGAGCTCCCAAATATTTTTTGACATTTTTGGCCTTTGGAATGGAGTAGGTTGCTAAGAGGCCCAAGGACATTGTGAGTTTTAGCCAAGAAACT